TATATATATATATATATATATATTCAACCAAGCCTCTTGGGAGGTCAAAAACTTACAGCCATGGGTAACTAGAATGGCCTTCATCTTTTGAGACCATAACTCTCTTTTCAAACATTCCATGGACAAAAAGAACTTGGATAAACTTGAGGAAAAGATGGAAAGAGAATCTTACTTTATGGACTCAAATGATATGCTCTATTGTAATTCGTTTGGATAAATATATAACTAGACTGACTTCCATTGTTAACTAAATAGGAGTAAGCATTGCCAGTGCCTAATCTAGTGGTGTTAATTTATGAAACAACCAAAAATTTAATTCTGGTTGACCTGTTTAACAAACTTGTCAGGGTCAGTTTGGGTTCTAATTCTCAATACATTTGAAAAATTAGGTCATGTCCAAGTCAACCTGCTAGCCCAAAAATGACTAGCATCCCCCCTGCAAATCTCACCTAATCACCTGCACCATGCTTACATCGCATCCTGCCCACCCCATGTATCTCTCCAGCACCGTATCATATCGCTTTGCTAGACTCTCCCCCATACCTCATAATCATGCTCGCCCCTGCCATCCTTGCCTGTTCTGGACTTCCTTGGGTCTGCTTGTCAGGTAGAATGAGCCCAAGTTTGGGGTAGGTTTGGTCCAGCATCATATTTTTCACCAGTTTATGTAATTGAGAAAGGTTCAGGTAGGGTCAGACGAGGGCATGTCAATTTCGAATTAGACTCGAACCCAACCTGAAACCTATTTTGACACCCTTAACCTAATCTAAATCACTCACTTTTTAATATGATCTGAGATACCACTCAAATAGAAGAAAATCATCCAAAAAAAGGTAAGACAAACAATATCTCTTTAATGCCATATGTCATGACACGAACTGATATGACCCATGGCACCACACTGGTTATATCATGCTAAATTATGGAAAGAAGTAGAGATTGGCCCTAAGATCTAGTTGGAGAAATGCTATGAAATTGAAACATCCAAATTATGTACAACACAAAGTCACTACTTAATATAAATATATAATGGAAGACTATTGAATCTCATAAATAATTTTTCTATATATCATCCAGAAAATATAAATAAATCCGAGGTCTATCTATAATAGCTCTTGGTAACAAAATTGTACAATAAAAATAAAATTCAAGCCTGCAAAAAAAAAAACCAAAATGCATACCTACAACCTAAATCAAATTATAATATTAAAAACTACTCAGTTTACTTACCTTTTCCCTAGCCTAAAAATAGAAGGAAGTGTGTTAAAACAGCTCAGTAGGTGCTGTAGGTTATGACATCCTAAAATAGGAATCAATAACTCAAACCAAAAGAGGTGAAAGAAAGGTTAAATAATAATAATAACATAAGTATTATATAAAAAGCTGAAACTAAAATAGGTAATGATACTAAATTAAAATAAAAACATTTAATAAATTATTAAAACTTCACTAAAACAAATTGAAAAATAAACAAACATCTCATAGTAAATATCGATATGGCCCTCAGGCTTTAACTTCTAATACATAACAAATAACAAAATTCCTTATTATTGCCAATAGAACCCATTCTTAGTAAATGTCAAAATAGCCCCAGGCTTCAAAACCTCCAAAATATAACACATAGCATAATTTCTTCCTTCAAACTACTCAAATATTTTGAACATAGATATTAAAAATAAAGTGAATTCTACACAACTAAAGAGATGTCAGTGTTATTTTATAATTCTACAAAAATGCTCTAATAACTATCAAAATAAATTTACACCCAACGTTTTATAATTTGTCAAAACTATCATTTCAAAATTCTATTATATATAGAGATTGTGTATAACACCATTATGAAGCCTTAACTAAATTAAGCCCTATTTTTAAATATTAAAATAAATTTTGAATTGATAAAAATTGTTGGTTTTTAAAACCACCCACTAGAGAATCTTGAATAAATACTCAAAATTATCAGAATAATCATACCAATAACATATAAAAAATTACGCATATAAAATTCACCAGAATTTGAGAAAACCATGTTTTCATAAAATAAAGTTATAAATTACGCTAGAAAAATCCCAAAGACCCTGAATTATCAAAATTTGAGGTAGGAAAAATGAAACATATGTTTGACCCGAGCAATTTTCAAAACTGGGCTATAAGTTGAAAACGACCCGAAGTAGCCTGAAATAGAGATTTTCTCTCTAGAAAACCCTCTCTCTCTCTCTCTCTCTCTCTCTCTCTCTAACTAAGAGGCTACTCAACTTAAATGGATCAATTGGAATAGTGAATTTGGATATTTTAAATATTAAAATTTGTCCTAGCGCCATGGTTCCAACCATGACTCTTCTTTAAAGTTCCTACACGCCACAACACCACGCTAGAATCAAAATGATATATATAAACACAGTATACAACTATAAATAAAAGCTAGAGAATTGAATAATAAAACTAGCCATTACTGTGAAAAAATTAATAGAAAACTTATCAATATAAACTAAGGCCACATCCTATACTGTTAATCAGCATGCTCTTTTCCTTTTCCAGATTATGAAAATAAAATGCAGAAAAACAATGTGCCAAAATAGCTCAGCATGCCACGAACACTAATATAAAATTTTAATATTTATTTTATTAAATGCAGTATAATAAATCAATTTGCTAGATAAAATAATAAGAGCATAGTAGTTATCCAGAGATTTAAGTAATAAACTGAGCATCAAATAAATTGAAATCCATATTATATAATGGAACATAACTGATTTCTCTCGTCCTAAATAGAATCTCAAATGATTTTGGTCTCTTATTACTCCCAATGTACTTATAGCACTAGAATAATATTTTTACCACCAGAACATACCTTATTGGCACAAAAACATGACTTTTTAGTCACGAGAAAAGTTTTCTTCTTTCATAACAATTCCCCCTATAATTTCTCAATTCAACCAATAAAACATATAATTCAATCACATAAATACATATTTCATCATATCGTAGCAATTAAAGCATAATTGAACTTATATTAGAATTGCACATATTTCTATTAAAATTCCTACTAAGTAAAAAATTTACAGTTTCAAAACATAACCAAATTATTAAAGATTATGTAACATATTATTTTAAGACTTTAATTATACAAAAAAATTATTTTTTAGAGTCCATATTATTTTCTATTTGATAAAAAATCATATAAATTTTAAAACCCCTAGTATAAATTTTTTTAAAAAAATATATTCATAAAAATTATGCAGTAAAAGTTTTACTCATGCAAAGTCGTTATCATTATTTTTGGGTAACAAAAATATAAATTTAGTTAAAAAATAAAAAAAAACTTCATATTTTTAAAATCTAAGATAGACATAGTTTGACCTACTTCGATTTTGATAACTTTTTAAATTGCGCCATGTTGACCTTTCTTTTGCCCTGAACCTTGGATCAAAGGGTTGACCTTGTCAAATTGACCAAGTCAGGCCCCAAGACCACCTCCCTTGAGTTCAATTGGTCAATTCAAGCTTTATTTAAATATAAACCCTATCTCTCACTCAAACCCCCACTACCTTGGACTCAATTGACTAGGTTGATCAAGTCAACCTTTGACTAGGTTGACCAAGTCAACCTTTGACTTGGTCAACCCAAGTCTTATTGCATCAATTTGACCTATTTAGGTCAATTTGAACCC